TTGTTGTACTACTTGTTGGCCTCTGAATCCCAATGTCTCTCTCAAATCCCAGATCGCTCTATTACAATCTCCTTTGTGAAGTCTAACTAATACTAATTAATCTCTAATTACTCAGTTTCACTGAAATAGGATTTAAGAGGAAATTACCAAAAAAGACAAACCTGACCAATCAGATGTCTTTCCAATTTATCACTACCAACACAGGAAGAAAATTGTCTCCAGCTAATCACACAAATGACACATCTGACTGATACGACAGCCTTCTTTGGTAACTCAACTGGATCATTTTATTTCATTTTAATCCTTCATTCATTTCTTTTACACTGAACAGCATCACCAGGAGTATTCACTTGTTCACATGCATACGAACTCGAGTTATATCCCATTTGTAATCCATAGGGTTTGATGTCGGCCCGCCGTTTACGTCTATAACAGCTTTGATTCTTTTAGGAAGGCTTTCCCCGAGCTTAAGCTTATGGGAGTTTTCATTCTTACAGAAGTGCATTGGTGAAGTCAGACACTGATGTTGGATGAGAAAGCCTGGCTCACAGTCTCTGTTCTAATTTATGCCAGAGGTGCTCTGTCGGGTTTGTCATTCGTCATTCTGTCATCCGTGTCTTCATGGACCCTGGTTTGTGCACTGGTGCTCAGTCATGCTGGAAAAAGAAGGGCTCATCTCCAAACTGTTCACTCAAAGTTTTGGATCATGAAATATCTCGAAACGTCTTGTTATGCTGAAGCACTGAGAGTACAATGCAGAGTATTCCATTCACTGGAACTAAAGGGCTGAGCCCTCTTGCAAAACAACCCCACACCATAATCCCCGCTACACCAAACTTTCTACAACGCAGTCAGACAAGCTGTTCTCCCAGACTCATCCATCAGATTGCCACTCTCTTCTTTCTTTCATTCTCCACAGAGAACATGTGTCCACTGCTCTACAGTCCACTGGTGGCGTGCTTTACACCACTGCATCCGAAGCTCTGCATTCTTCTCGGTGATGTAAGGCTTTGACGCAGCTGCTCAGCCATGTGAATCTATTCTATGAAGCTCTCTGTGCTCTCGTCTCAAGATCATTTAAAGGCCACATGAAGTTTGGAGATCTGTAGCGACTGATCTGAAGAAAGTTGGTGACGTCTGCACACTTTGTGCCTCAGCACCCGCTGACTCCGCTCTGATTTTACACAGTCTACCACTCCCAGTCTCCCAGTCGCTTACACTTTGTTATAATCCTACTAACAGTTCACTGTGGAATATTTAGTAGTGAGGAAATGTCATGTCTTGACTTGTTGCACAGGTGGCATCCTGTCACGGTACCAGTCTGGAATCCACTGAGCTCCTGAGAGCGAGTCATTCCTGTGCCAATGTTTGTAGAAGCAGTCTGCATGCTGAGGTGCTTGATTTTATACACCTGTGACCATTGAAGTGAGTGGAACACCTGAATTCAGCCACTTACAGGTGAGCAAATACTTTTGGCAATGTAGTGTAGTTCCAGCACAAAGCGTGAAACTCTTGAACTGCACAGATTTTACAATTATTTTTCATTTCCAACCATTCCCCTGTTTAATATCTTTGTAATACTAAGATTATAAAAGGCAACATTAACTGCAAGTCACATATGAACCTAAATGTTGATATGCTTTCCTAAACCAGTCCTGCAATCATTTATTCACATTCACATGTTCTCTAACCAAATCAGGCAGCCTGACACAAATGAGGACTGAGCGAATTTCTGTGAAATTCTTTTGGATCAGATTCAAAAAACTATTTCCCTGAATTGTTGTTCTGCTTTTCACACATAAGATGTGACTGTGTTGTCCAGCAGGGGGCAAAAGAGACCAAGACAACACGAAGAAAAGTTGTACAAAAAGAGTTAAGGGTAAAAATGATCTGGAGCAGGGATTCATTTAAGAAAGATTTTTAAAAAAAAGAGTGGATCAGTTATTTAATTTTAGTTATTTAATGTAATTTTGCTTTCAGTCATTTTCTTCAACTTATTCATGTCAGGGTAGGCGGGGCGGCTGGACCAGGGTACACTCCGTACAGGGCTAACACATAGAGACAGACAGGTACTCACACTCCAACTCATACCTGATATAATTATCAAATAACTTAACCCCACTAACTGCATGTCTTTGCATGCTTTCCATGTGTCTGTGTGGGCTCTTTCCAGGTGCTCCGGCTTCCTCCCACGGTCCAAACTCCACACTGAAAGACACTGGCTAAATGATCCGATTCAAACCCAGGACCTTCTTGCTGTGAGGCAACAGTGCTAACCGCATTTTATTTAATAGGGACAACTTAGATCAGGAAAAAAATAGGAACATTTTGTTTTGGGTACTTTTTCCTAAACCAGTCCTGTGATTGTTTGCATGACAAATTAGCTGCGAGTCGGGATCTCTAGCCAAAGCAGGCGGTCTGATGCAAATCAGGGCAGGGCGAATTTCTCTGAAATGTTTTTTTACAGAAGATTAAAAGAAGTCACTCTGTTGTGTTTTCCGGAAACTGGATGGAAAAGCTGCACAAAAAGAGAGTGGAGGACAAAAATGATGTGGAGCAGGGGCCGAGTTATAAGCCAGACAGGTTTAAGAAGGGTAAAAACATGGCAGAATTTCTGCTGTTGAGTCTGTTGTTCCATAGAAACATAACCAAAATACATGAAACCCTGGAGTCATTCACATTAGTTTCCAGCAGAGAGAGCTGAGAGCACTCAGAGCAAATTCAACACAGCTGATGGGAATAAACCAAAACGCCTCAGCATGTGACTTACTGTAAGTCCACTTGGACACAATTCATGTCTTGTGATGCAACAATAAAATCTGTTCGCATAAAAGAGCGATCAGATAAGACATACATAAAGGTCATCCATCTACTTGGGCGAAAACCTTTTTTGTGTTTGAAACTGTGAAAGCCACACCCATGTGTAACATCCACTCCTTTGACTGTGCTCAGCGTTCTGCCATCAAGGGGTAAATTACATCCAGGAAGTGTAACTACATAGTTATTAACTGAGCCACAAACATTTTCTCAGCTTTGGGCTCCGACACACATTACGCTGGTAACCTTGACACCAAAACCCTGAGCTTTTTAACAACACTGCTGTCACCACCAGTTTACAACTTTGCCTTTGGGGAAGAGATACCAGACACAAAAAATCCACACTGAAAGAGCTTCTTCCTCAAGGGACTGATTAAGTACATTGGCAAATTCACAATATTGCGATATCTGCACTCATGAATAACCAAAACAAGCCACTGATGTCTGCACGTTACTTGCTGCCATAACAAGACAATGTTAGTGTATATATAGTGTTTTGGTGTGTATTTAACAGGAATGGATGGATTCTGCACGCTTTGCAGAGCGGATTCCACTTCTGGGAAGAGCTTCGTCACAACACACAAAGCATACACACACACACACACCAACCCACACATATACAGCAAATACAGGGCTGCCTCTGGTAAACGTACAGGCCTGCACACATTTCTTCATTCTGCTTATTAAGCCTGACATTGTTGAGGCTTTTTCTCACAGCTCTGTGGGAGAAACACCTCGTCTAACCGGGGGAAGCTAACCATTCCCACATCTGTGTCATGACTTGCAGCGGCTCTGCCTTCACATTTGAGAAGCGCGTAACAAACTGTCAAAAGGTCCATGTGTAAAAAGCGAGCTATAAAAAGAGTATCATAAAGGATTCTGCCCTGCTTTCCTTTGTGGACGACGACTTGTTTATAATTCATTCCCCCTCTCCTTTTGTCTCCCTGACTTTCTTCTTCACGCAGACTCCTTGTTCTCTCCACTTCTTAAACCAGTTAGGATTCCCACAACCAGTACACACGATATCTTCTTTTTTTTCTCCCCAGTGACTCACTCAGATCTGGATAAATTATCCTGAGGCTTAAACTCCCACACAAAGAAAAAAATGCAAAGACTCAGCAGCACACAAAAGCAAAGAAGCAGTAGGAACATGCTTATATGCTAGCAGCAACGTAAACACAATCAAAAGAGGCTCATAGTAAAAAAAAAAATAACACAAGAGGCAAAAAACGATAGTGAAGCCGTGTGTATTTAACAAGCTGTTTAGCCATAATTCACTCACTCATACAACACATTCATTCATTTATGTTCCCTCAGAGCAGACTGAAGCATTAGCTCCTCTCACTGTAGCAGAGAGCAGCATCTATACATGAAATGTACTGCACACTCGCAGGGGGGACAGCTGCAGTCAACAAAACACAAACGAACACAGAGTCTCTGGAAGTAATCAGCTAAACGATTCTTCATTCTATTCTTGGCTGACCTCACTGTAACGGAATCAGCAAACCCAAAAAATCCAGTGTAAATTAGCTTAGCTCTGTGTGTGTCTGTGCGACTGCATTTATTGATTCTTTGATATGAAATGAGTCAGAGGAGCAGCCAGGAGATGTCATCCTTTTTGCCAACGGCATTTCAGAGCAGTGGGCATTTACTCACACAGTGATAAAATCTTCAGAGTTGATTGATAAAAGTTCTGCTATTTGTGCGCGCAAACACGGTGCTCCATCTTTAATGACTGAGCCGTCCAGCTGACAGGGATCCAGGATGGATACTTTCACTGTGAGTGTGTTTGTTGTACTTCACAACTCCAAGTATGTAATATGTGACTCTGTCGTGTGAGAGTGTGTCCGCTCTGCTCTCTGTCACACTTCCTCATTCCCTCCCCTTTCACTCTCTGCCTCTATACCCTTCACATGGCAGGCTCACAGTCTAGTTGGCAACAAGATCACTGCCTGACAGAGCGCCCGCCAACTTTAAAGTATATTAAGCACTTTATATTGCTAACTGAGCCAACTGCCAGAAACTTCAGGGTACAGTCATACTTAGCTATTGGGTTGTGTGTGAAGGTTAGTGCTAACTTTCACCTTTATAACAACTACAAAAATTGGTGAATTACTTTGGACCTCAACCCTTTAAAATAACTCTTAAAGTTTTCATTAAATGTGTGGCAGGTTTGACTGTTGATGCTGACACAGCAGGCTTCGATCTGCACATTGCTCGAGAGTTATATTGGCCATATTGGATGGGACGCAAACAGCAGGCACAAGGATAAACTAATAATTTCCCCTAGTTTTCCACAATGGGTTGGTTAATTTCAAGAAGTTGCACACTGTTTTCAGGTGAAATTAGTTTCAAAGAAGGCGCTACAACAAAACCTTGTGGTTGATTTGGTCACTGGCAGATTTCCATGGTTGCTTGTAGTTTGCATGGAGGACGCCAACATGTCAGCACTCACTCGCTAACTACTAGCTAAGTGGTAGTAAAACTTGAAAAAGTGTTACCTTAACAGGCAATAGCTAATGTTCACCTTCAAAATAAAAGTTTCGCCTCAGCAATCCAACCAACACATTTCAAAAGGCTCAACTTTTAAATTGAAGGCAAAAAAGACACGCTCCTAAAACCAAGGGGTTTTTGTCCTGTTTGTATTCAAATTCAGAGCTCTGAGAACAGTTGACAAGTGTCTGCCGACAAGGAAATGTCATCTATCCAAACTATGAGCACCCACAGCAATCTGCTAGCAACCAAATCAAGGTCGCTTTTGCCAAATGCTCTGGGAATACACAATTTTACCTACAAATCAGTTGCTGACTCAGACCTTATTGCCTGGACCCTACAGAGCCATACATCCAAAATGGCAAACAAGTCAACATCACATCGTTAGCAGCCGTATAACTGCAAAACCTCAACACATTTCTTTCACATTTGACATTTCAAAGGGTCTAACACTAGAGCAGAACACACTGTAGAGTTTTTCATTCTGCTTTGTCAGAACAACCAAACATCAGCTTGACAGGCTTCAATAGCACTGCTATACTTAATGAAATGCTAATACATGCCACTGAAGTGGGCTATATTAGCATTAAATCAAAGTGCAGTTGGGGCAAAACATTACAAATGAATTGATGTGATGACGAACTGCTGTCACTGGAGACTGCTTTATTATTGAAAACCATGCAGACAATAACACCATAATAACTAGCAGCATCTCTGTAAGTGCCAGTAAGGAAAAAAAAGAGGTGAAAAATCCACTTGAAAAGAATAAAGCGTGGATTTGCACACTCTAATCACAGCTTCCATTATTCCCTCACTTCGGCTGTAAATGTACCACATTCAAATTAAAAGTGCAATAATCATAAACCACTGATTTAATATGACTCCCTATCTAGCCTTGGGCTGCATGTGCGTGTTGCTCATCTGCTCACTGGCCGCAACATAAAAGGTAGCACTGTCAGGCCAACACCTGTGTCCCTGCCACAGCGCGCGCAGCAGCTACGTTGCTTGTGAGTGTTTGTTGTGTGCAAAGTTCAGCTGATAAGCCCTAGTCGGCTGCAAGAGGCTCACACCAAAGAAAACATTTGTATTTATGTTGCAAAGCAGAACTTGTTACACTGAGCTACGATGTGCACTCAACACATTTGACGGGCGATTGTCAACTTTACTTTTGTCTTGAAAGATTAGATTGTGCTTAAACTTCTGATAAGGAAGTGGCTTTTTGCCAGTTTGGAGAGCACGCTCAGATCTCCACCTGCAGGGTGAGGTCAGTTACTTTGGGC